ACTTACAGCAGCACACGCCACCAGGTCTCTGGGCGTTTTCCGATAATATGGTGGAAGCCAGGAGCAGGACTAATCTGGGCCAGATGTTCAGGACACCACCAACCTGCAAGGGCTCTTACTGTCAATGAAGACCTTCTGAAATATTAATCTGACTGTGACTTGTGCCCCGGTGTCAAATAAAGCGTAAAGGAGTAACTACAGGGCAACTGCCTGCTTAGACCTGCTTCATTAGCAGATGACTGTCAGGTAGAGCAACCCCCCCCTTCCCCTAGCCAGAGGAAACACCTGAAGGTGCCCTGAGGATTGAGATGGGATCTGTCATGGGACCAAGTGAGACTCCCCATCTGGAGCTGACAGAGCGGACCAGTTTGGAAGCCAATTGTGCTCGTGGAGAAGAGGATGAAGGAAGTACACATGGAATAATTGTAAACCCAGATCGGTGCCGAGCAGAACCCCCCATCCAGAGCTGACAGAGTGGGCCAGTTTGGAAGCCGATCATTCTTGTGCAGGAGGGGATGAAGGACATAAACATCGAATAACTACAAAGCCAGAACTGTGCGGGCAGAACCGCTGTCTACGAGGCGACTAGCTGCAGTCTGCTGACTGACCCAACCGGAGAGCCCAAGGCAGAAATGCCACTCCTTAGCTGCTGGTCTCCTGCGATACCGCTGCCCTTTCTTCCCCCGCAATGAATAGGAAGGATCAAGGCCGATTCCTGGCAAGCATACACTGATTCCACTGACGTTGTGGCCAAAAGCCATGAGACAGAGCTGTAACCTCCACACCGGTTGGGGGGGGGGGATTGGAGACCATGTCGGCAGAAGCAGAGACAGACTGGAGCACAGAATGCGTGACCTTTGTGGAGCATATGGCCAGTGCTGCGAAAGACGGCCATGCTCACTGTGTCTGCCGGCCGCAGCCACTCCCACGATGACCTTCTCAGAGAATCACCCAGCAGGAAAACTGTCACCAGCACACCACACACCTGTTAATTACCAAGAAACAGGTTCCTATCTAGGCAGACCCAAGCTGCACTTCAAATGTAACATACAAAGCTATATACAGTATATACAGACTATCCCTGATTTACAATGGCCTTCCGTTCAGATAGACAGGTTGTACGCTGAAATGGACGTACGTCGGAATGGGACAGCTGGACTGACTTTAAGGTGTGAGAATGAAACTGAGAGATGTGTGTGAGGCTGGGAAGGTCACCCTACCATACAGTACAGCACTTTCCCACAGATCCTATCGCATGACACGTAACGTGCACTGGGGGGCGCAGTGCTGCTGGGAGAGTGGCCACTCAATAGTTATATTTACATAGCTACATTTAGTTTTTTTTCTTTTTAAAAACTTCGGTTATATGTGCAAGTTGTTGGGGAGAGTCTGTATATATATATATATATATGCCTAAGATACATGAATTATTCAGTCTGGGGGGGGGGGAGGCAGAGCGGCTAAAGTGACTCAGTTCCAGTTTACTCCCACCAGGAAGTAGCAATGATGTTGCCAGGAGGCCATCCTGAGGGGGGCACTGGGGTGTGTTGGGAGGACCCCATTGTGTCAAAGGTCGGTGGGAGTCCCCTGGTGTGCAGGTGTCAGATGGGGGAGGGGGTGACGGTGGGTTGGTGATCCATTGGGTGGGCAGGCGAGGGCCGTGCCCCCAGGAAGCAGACCTAAATGTCAAAGGCAGCGTTAGACCGGGGCTCCTACCTTGGGGTTAGTGCCCTCCACCACCTCTGCTAATTGGAACAGCCTGGACAATATAAGTGGATTAAGCCGAAAACGGAAAGCCGTCCTCGGAACAGCTAGACGCAGGAAGTTCTGGGCAGCTGCCAGACATTTTGGGTACGAAGGAAATAACAGGGCTTCCGAGGAGAATTTAATTTCCTTCTGAGCACCAGCAAACAAACAGGAAATCAGTCCACAGCTGCATCTCCATTACAGAAATCAGCAATGTGAAGCTTTTAACTTCAATCAAAAAAGTGGATAAGGGAGGGTGACGAAGTAATTTAACGGACAAACAGACTACAGGCATACAGAATGAGGCGCAGCGTGTTGTCTGCCACTGAATACGTGGCCAGCAGGGGGCACCGTCATTAGGGGAAGATGTTGGTGACCAAAAGGTTGTCCAGGGGTCCCTGGAGGGTCTGCTGTGGATCCTACAGAGAGCGTCGGGATCAGAAGTGACCGGTTAGTGCCAGCTGAATAAGCAGGTAAAACCGCATAATGTGGCTTTAGGTGTGTCTGTCTGCTCAGCCAATCAGGGATGAGTGTGAATTATAATGTGGGGGTGGAGGACCTACCCTCCCGATGCTCTACAGTGCAGTTCCACAACTGCCCCGACCCACAAGGAAATAAAGTGAGTGGGGGCTTTGGGGAAGGGGGTTTTTATTAATTCATAGTGCTGAAACATGCTGGGTGCCCTGCCTGTCCCAGCCCGGCTGGCAGCACTCATCTATTCTGCATGGGGGGGTTTATTTATGGACTCCCTCCTGTCCTTCGCTTCACTGGGGGCTCTCTATTTTTCTTTTTTTTTTTTGAAGAAAAAGCAATAAAGCCACAGCATGACATAGACTTGGGTGGCTATTAATCCAGCACTGCTGAAAAAATGATCATAGTGATCCCGATTCCAGTTAATAAGCAATGGGGTCAATTAGGCAGCGCTGGCACACAGTCAGCCCTGAGGAAGTGCTGTTCCTGAGCGCCTCTGTGAAACAGCACATAGCTGGTGGGAGGAGACAAGACGTCGAGGCAGACAGACCAACGCGGCTCATACAGGCAGCTAAACGCCTGGACCTTTTGGCTCTGACCCGCAGATCCTCCCTCCTGAACACTGCAGAAAAGTGAACGTGGCCCAGCCATGTCGGATTAATGCAGGTTTGGGTTACTGCTGTGGATTCTGTCATGTCCCGTGTCCTGCAGCGGGCGGTGCTAGTGAACCGTTGGCTGGACACGCCAGGGAGTGATGAAACGAAACCTGGATAAACGAACGCACTCATGTCAGCTTTATCACAGGAGTATGCAAATCTAGCCTTCATTTTGCATTTTACACTGAAATTAACCAAAATCACAACATTCCTCCTGAATTATCAGACGGTGACAGACGCCTGACCCAAAAAAGACACCCCCAAAGTCCCAAACGGACTTTCTGACTTCACCAGCCATCTGTGGTGCCCTGCCTTCACTGCCAGCCCCCCTACCATGTAGATTCTGCCCCCCCCCAACAAAAACAATGAGCAGCTTCTAGTGCCTCCCCATTTGAATCCCTCCTTTCTGCCGTGTCTCTGATTATTCCAAACATGCAGGTTATGTGATTAAAGAAACTCGAGAGAGAACGGAAACATTAGGAACTGCATTACAGAAGGAAGTTTTTGTGTGCTGTGACATTCTGGAATAAATACATACAGATTAGCTTACCAGCTAGACACACACAAACAAACTGCCAAGCACAGGAAGCATGCCTAGACTCTCGATCAGACCTTCCAGGTTTACAAATTCAGTTCTCCCAGTCGAGTCGTTCAAATCTCACTTCCACACGTGCTCACCACCGGGGAGGAACCTCCATGGCGCTGCCTCTATAGGAAACCTTCTGTCCTCTTAAAAGTCTACAGCTGGTTAGTGCCCAAGTCCTTCATGCTAATGATTAGCGCTGATAATTAGCTGGCCAGTCAGAATCTATCAAAGTGCACTAATCAGCTTCATTTCCTGGTTTAACCGCAGCAGGAGCTGCGCTGGATACAGTTTCAGGATATTGACATCTCAGATGAGCCACGATTTATGGTGCACTATGGGATGCCATCCATCCATCCATTCATCCATCTTCAAATATGCTTTTCCAGTACAGGGTAGTGGAATAGTGAACCTGGAGCTTCTGGAGCCCAAACCAAGCCCCCCCCAGGATGACAAAATAATCTCCATCCTGTTTACCATCTCTCTACGAATAAAGGAACCACGCCCGTCTAGGTGGGATGCAGTGGAGAGAGAGGAACACTGCATCAGCCAGCACTGTTGGGGGATCTCACAGCCGTATTATGTCACGTCGAGGAAGCTCCTTACTGCCCACTGCAGGCCAAGCTGCCATGGCTGGCTATCAGCAGCCAGACAGACCCTCTTACACTGGATGCAAACCTGTTTCTCCCACCTCACCACCCACCTGCCACATATCCGCCTACGCAGCTGAGCTGCGTGACCACTGCCAGTCACCAGGGCCGGCCTTGTCACACCAAAGGGCCTCACTCAAATCTCCCTGGGGGAAAACCGTCTTGGCAAATCGCCCCACGTCAAAAAGCTATGGCCAGGGGGATTTAAAGAGTAGGAGATACAAGCCCCAGAAACAGGACCGCATGTTCACTCCAACTTAAACAACCCCCACAATGGAGGAGTGGCAGGGTGGGCTTGGTTAGGGTCAGGATTAGGGTCACGCTTAGAGATGCACAGAGTCACCCCTAGGCAGGGGCGGATTAAGGTGTACGGAGGCCCCTAGGCTACAGTAGTCTGTGGGCCCCCCAACCCAGCCCCGCTCCGCGCCAATGGGGGCCCCCTTGCAGGCTGGCACACGTGGGGCCCCTAGGCTTAAGCCATATCTAGCCTGTGCGTTAATCCGCCCCTGCCCCTAGGGGGTGCTTTGGTTACGATAAACATGTTGACGTCTAGGAATATTATCTACTCCCTTCACACCCCAGTCGTTCCTAATTGAGGTCTGTGTTTATGCTTCTGATCTCCAGTCATTATCACCCATAATTCCATCCCATAATGATTTTCTATTGCTGCAGGATTGGTGAACGTGTTCTTGTCGTTAAATGGAGTCTGGAATGAATTAAGTGTCGCATTCCTAGACCTGTTATCCTCGGAAATGGAATTCCATGGTCAGGTAATATTGACATCCTGACTGCCAGAGGACGGGGGACAGGTACATTCTGATTGTAGGAGTCTCAACAGAGGAAACCCCGCCCACCCAGGTTGGTCAAAGGAGGCGGGGTCAGGCTACTCCTTACCTATCAGGATCCATCTGCACCTCGCCGACGCCCCTCTGAATGGTGTCACGGGTCGAGGTTGGTTCCGGCCCACGGACCACATTCCGGGAGTAAAGATTGAGGCCCCCGTCCGTCAGGTACCTGCAGGAGAGGGAGAGATCGCTGTCAAATCCCTGGAATATTACATCGTCCTTAATGGATATCCGGGGTGGAGGAAGAAGGTGAAGAATAGCGGCCCAAGAAAATAGGATATGGATGGAAAGCCAAAGAGCAGAAGAGGTTCTCGTTAATTAAAGCAGGGTAGTAAATGACCCCCCTCCGTCTGCTGGGTGAGAACTCATTAAAAGCTTCGAAATTTCTGCTCCTTGAGTTACTTCATCAAACCCATCTTCCTGCTCTCAGTTTTCACTCAATAAATCAGTCCCCTGTGACTTACAGGCCATTTTTAACAAGGCAGACTACAGCCATCAGCACAGCACTCCATCCGCTAGTGACGGTGACGTTACAGAAGGGAGAGGAACGCTGTGTGAAGCAGAAATCAAACAGGAGCCTCATCAAAGGCTGGATTACACGGGCAGCCAAGGAAAACAAACTTATGGCTAACACTGCTTTATAACCCCCCTCGCCCCCCCCCCCCCCGGGCTCACACAGCAAATGGAGGGAAACTCCATCACACCGAGCCTAGATCTCCACTTACAGAAGGCTGGCCAGCCTCATTATCCGCCTCCCTTGACGTTTTATAGCACTCTCAGAGTGACTGATGCTAACGTGCTACATGGAGCTCACACGCCACGGTAATTCCCCCCCAGGGTGTACGCGGGAGGGGGTCAGGCTGAGTGCCTGCCTACCCCGGTGCTCCTGCCATCGCTCTCTGCCACGGGCGACCTTGGCACTGGGCCTTCAGTGCGGTGCTGTGCGGCTTTTCCCAAACGGGGGCATCTTTCATGCCGGTTTAAGGTAAACAGAAATGAGACGCATTACTGCACGTCCGCCCATCATCTGACCAGGGTGACGAGCATGGAGCCCATCCCCGGAAGCACAGGGCATGAGGGACACTCCCAAGGTGCTGTTAGTCCATCTTCGGGGCTGAACATCCATCACGTAAATAACAAACTGTCTTGAACTGTCATTTTGTGACTCCTGCTCACTGCAGGGAAGGGGCTCTGGGGGCCGCAATTTCCATACTCTAAATATACCATAATGGTACAGAGGGTTGTGACTGGAAGGGGGGTTACAGACAGGAAAACGCATGTACTCATGCCATCAAATCACGCTCTGTGCTATAATATTCTGATAAATGTATTATAATGGAGCATATAAAAGACAATAGAGGGATGGACTTCCATCCATCCATCCATCCATCCATCCAAGGGTCTGTAGTCAGTATCCAGCTAAAGGGTGATTGGGGGTCCATCTGTGTAGGAGGGCGTCTTACCCGCTGGTGACCTCGTCCAGACGCACATTCTTCCCCAGGATGTCCCCGTCACTCATGTATCCAGCCACCTCCACCTCGGTGCCACCCTCTGGGCCCCCCTTCTCCCCCAGCTCTGCCGCCCGCGGGCCCGACGCCCGCCGGAGGGGCGGGGCGTACATGAAGCGGGAGGAATCTGAGGGCGTGAAGCGAGCCGAGGGGGCGGGGCGGGGCGCCGGGTAACCGCTGGGCAAGGAGGGGGCATCGCCGGCCTGCAGACGGGGGCTGGGAGACTGGCCCAGCCGCCACGACATGGGGGAGGAACGGCTGGCCAGGCCGGCCAGGCCACGCCCATTCACCTCCGTGGTCACCGTGCTGTCGAAGGTCGTCTCCAAGGTGCTGCAGGGGCGAGATCGGGAAGCTACATCAGGCAGGGATTAGGGCTGCAGCTATCGATTATTCTGGTAATTGGGAATTCTATCGATTAATCCATCGATTAATCGAGTGATCGGATAAGAAATTCTTTTGTATTATTAAAAAGCAATAGTAACTATTCGAAAGGGATAAAAGACAGGTCTCTTAAAATGAACTCATTGGTTTCCGTTTTATAAACATTTTTAATGATTAAAATGCAAACAATATCTGTCAAGAAAACTAAATCCTTTAAGTGTTTATTTTATTGTTTAAAAGCGTGGTGCTGAGGTATCCACTGCACGGCTGCACTCCGGCTCTCATCCCTGAGCTGGTGGGTGCGGCAACGCGCTGTAATCAGTGCGCGCCCCTTACCTATTTGGAAAATGAATTACCACAAAATGATTTCAGCTATCATAAATTTCATAGTAAATTCTCACTGAACATTGTGACCTGAGGAGAGCCGTAAACTGATTATAAGGTATATTAACATGGTAGCAGTGCAGCTAACTGTAAACCGTCGATAACCAGAATAACTTAATATGTAACGTTACCCTGCGTCAATAGTAACTGACAAAATCATCTGTGACATGGGAACATTAGCCTTGATAGCTGTTAAGCTACATTCGGTCATAACTATTAATTATGATAAACATTAACAGCTAATGCTGAGCACATAAAAACTAAATTATATTTAGTATATCAATGACAGCTAATGTAGTAATGTTTTTAAAAAACTGTTATTTTATCAACATACCGCTGAAAGTGCTTGGTATGCAATGGAAATGAACATGACTGCATGCCGTGAGCGTCCAATGACTGGAACTATTAACCGTCCCCATGACCCGAAGTTTGCTGGAAATTTCCCCGCCATTTTTTACAATGGGCCCCTAGAGAGCACCGCTACTATTAATCCACAGCTCTGCTACACGTAATACAGCGTAAGCACACTGTGCGATAGTAACAATCCTCCATGTGAAACATGGTGATCATTGAGCAGCACATAGTCCCTTGGACTAGACAGACAGAATCCATCACATCTCTCACACAGACCTCGAGGTTAAAAATACTCCCCATAACAGCTTCCTAATCCCACTGTGTGGGGCGAGATCAACAAGCAGCCTGATCAATAATATCCGGTAACTTCAGTCACCTATCGGAGACATTATGCATATGGCACATTCCCGCACTGGTTCACCTTTTTACTCAACTGTCCGTTTCTGAATTTCAATTCTGTGTTTCCGAATTACGACACTCTGTGCTTGATTCTTCACGACCATGGCCATCATCAAAAGTGAAATCAGGTCTGTGGACAATATGCACCTGTTATAACCGTCCCAATCAAACAAGCCCATACAACCAAGCTGGTGTGATCTCCCTCTGGTGGACATTGCGTAACATTGCATGCTTTTTTTCATCACAAAATTATGCATCAGTTCAAAGCTGTTAGATGCTAAGCAGGCTGGACAGTTACACTAAAGTCCTTTTCCTACAGCTGGTAGCCCCTATATCTATGCAAGATTTATCAAACTTAAGTGGATAACAATACAGATTAAACTATGCACTGTAATTTTACATCAAGCACACAGCTACAGTTTCCGTCTGCGCACTCATTCTGCTGCAGTGTTACTTTGTTGGTGTGAAAAGCCGTCGAACATGGGCGGCGTATCGGCAGAGAGTGGAGGACAGACTGGCGTGGCGTCAAGCTCCTTGCTGCGACGGGGGGTGCGGGGGGCACATTCACTCCCCATGCCCCACCACTGCCTGCCACACATCACGCACACAGTGCCATGGAGTGGAAGGGGGGGTGTGGGCTCCGTAGCATAGCAACAGAAGCAGACTCCACCAGCAGTTGGCTTGTATTTCCGTAGGACTCAGGAAAGACATACAGCACAAAACAACTGAGAATAATAAAGAAAAGAAGAAAAAAAAAAGCATACAAAAGCCAGTGCCCCCCCCCCCACCCATGACAAGGGCATGGAGGACTGCTTTGCATAAAGGATCTGTGCATATGGCTAACTGTGACCACGCTCAGAAACGCTCCATTCTAAATGCACAATGTGACCAGAAATCACACAAAGCCACATGCTGCTGGATATAAAATAAGATGAAAAAATGATCATCCCTGCATGCAAGCTTCCCCTGGAACTAGCAGTCTGGGTCCAGCCGTCGTGGAAGGGGAGGCGGGGGGTGTGAAATGTTACTCAGGGGCGGCCTTCTGGCAAAAGACAGTAGGACACATTTATTTTAAGCTATCAAGTTTGGTCAGCGCTAAACCAGCCAATCAGCCTCAGTCTATTACCCATCCGGTGTTCTAACGAGGTATTTCATTGGCTAAATCCAAGCTACTTTATCTCACTCCCGGATCTGTGATGGTCTGGCATCCTCTTTGGGAGTCACTTGCTGCTCTTTGCATCCTGTTGTGGGCTCCAGCAACGCTGCAACTGTGCAAGAAGGGAACAGCTAGGGAAGATGGATGAATAGAAGGATAGATCATTCCCCTGCATCAGTCCTCATTCACACCTGACAGATTTTGCGCCACTCTGCTGTCTCGCATGCGTCAGCGCCTCATGGTGGCCCAGCACATAGAGTACGCAAGCGTAACACAATGCACTGCCATACAGTGGTATAAAGCATTTCATTGCACTGTGAATGGGACCACAGAAATGCTTTTTCCGCTTCCGTAACGCCAGAAATCAATAACTGGGGCGAGAGCCAAGGCTATTACCGACTTTTTCAGGCAGAACACAAGTGGCCCTGTCAATATTCGCCAATGACCTCGAAGATGAGACTCGGGTTGCCTTCAAATGTGCTTTCAAAGTAATAAAAACATCTAATCAATGGTCCATCAAGGAGACCGCCATTTTGGGGCTACCTGTCAGTCTGAAGGCTGGACACTGACAGCTTTACGCAGGTAATTGTTTTACAATACCTTCCATCCCACCACATCCAGGACTGGCAGACAAGAACTGTCCAAACAACAAAACATTTACGCTCCAACATTTAATAGTCCAAACACAAAGAGGAAGAAACAGGAAAGAGATGAGGGCAGTCATCAAACTCCACTACCCATGGGGCATTGCTGTGATATCAAGGTGCCCCTCAGGGTGAACAACTTTGTTCATGATGCCGTTTCTGAGGGTCAATCAGCATGAACTATGTAAGGTTCACCCTCTGTGAACAAGAAAAACACAAGACATCTCCATCCTTCCATTCGTTTCTCCCGGGGCAATTCCAGGATTTGATCCCTTTGGCCCCCAAGAAATATGTGACAAAATCTCTAAATGGATTTAGAGATGAAAAATTGCCTGCTAAAATGGTCAAGAATCACCTATGCATGTATGCATCCATCCATCCATCTTTTGGCAACTACTAATACAATGGAGGGTCATGGTAATGAATTTATTTTATGGAGCAAATGTCACAATAGATCAGCACTGTTGTTAGAGGGGGCCATGATATTTACTGACTGGAGAACATGACTGAAGAACATCTGGTTGGTTCTAGTTGGTGCCACATAGTCAACAAAACCATAGGACAACTTATTCAGTATGTTCATTACTGTCAGCCAATCAGCACCGCCCTTGAGGAAATAAAGGTCAGCAGATGGTGTCACGGTAACACAACCTGAGCTCCAGCTCAGATGGGGGCAGGCTCATGTCTCAGGGGATGGTTTCGTATCTTACAGACTGATACTATATTAATACAGACTCAGGAGGACTCTCTGGGCAAATAACTTGTTGTGGGAAGCATGATAGAGTTCCAGAAGCTATTTCTGGGTGAGAATGAGCTAGTATGAGAAAGGATGAATGAAAAGGGGCAGAAATCTAGCCTTTTTTGACAGCTTCCCTAATGTTAAACTGTCCAAGATTCTACAGGTTTAGCACTTATTTCTGATAACCTGTCATTCTAGTCCAAACCAGTGATGCTTTCATTTCAAGCTGAGCATTTGAGGACCAATGAAACTGCAGGACAAACAGACATGTAAATCGAGTTAATCGACCCAGTTTCATGTGGACCAGGTGGACTCCACACGGTACATCGATTCCAGTCAAACCCTGCAGGGCCAAACTCCCCGTGGAACGTACAGCCCACACTACTGAGCCGACGAGACCAAGAGAGGTTCTGATAAATCTCCTGGGCAGCTTACTATAGAAGCTGAGGGGATCAAAGATCTTTGTCTGATTGTTGTGATGTGAATGTGCTACGAGTGCCTACCTGTGGCTCAGCTGCGCCCCCCGGAGGCTCGACATGGTCTCCTCCAGGTTCTGTCGCAGGTCTGCGATATTCTTCACCGTCCGCATCCTCCTCGTCTCGGGATCCTCCCCTGTGGTTCGGAGAGAGAGAGAAGGGGCGTCACCGTGGCAACCACCGAAGGCGGGAGGTGGCCGTTGCCGCCCAACGCGAAGTCAGCTAAGCGTGCAGATTGGCATTTGGACCCTGGACCGGCTTGGATGCAGAACATTAGACAGATTGATGGCTGCATACAGGAGCAGGTCCAGTGCATCCTGACACCACAATAAGCTCCGAGGCTTTAGCTAAAATACAACTTTGTAAAGTGTCAAGAAACCTTTGCTATGAGCCAAACCCTCTCTAAACTTCACAGTGACAGAACAAAAACTGTCTTTGTCGGCTATATGTGTGTTAATCAAGATGTTCCACTGTCCTCAGTGCCATTCTCTGCCT